TTAAATTGTGGTTCAGTTTTATAAAAAGAAGTACCAGAGTTCATCTTATTTAGGGCTCCGGTGCACTCCGGCTAAAATTGTAATTTATCTTAAAAATTGAGAAGCACTGGAGCCAGGCTCCGGCGCAATTTAAGCACTGGTTTGTATTACCTTGCACATGGAAAACACTATGAGAAAACACCATGTAGCCAACCTGGTAGCTATGATGTAAATCTGGATCAAATTGCCAGTATTCAGTATTCTTATCCACTGATGTCCCACCAACATTTTGGAATTCTACAAAAAAAGATTTGGCATTTTCTGATTATCAGCATCTCCACCATAATGTCACAAAAAAGTATTCACGAGGCAAAGCAGTATATTGCCAAAATAGTTGTGTTGTAACTCAGGTATGCACATAGCATGTATCTGGTTTAGCCAGTGTGTAATGTTGAATAGCAAAGATGCAACGTTTCACATATATGGCTGTGTATGTGGGGAGAATAATTCTGGAAAAAAGAAGGATTCCTTGAAAAAGATAAGTGTTTCATTATGGGTGTTTTCTGTTTTTATATGAAATTTTTAGCATGACAACATTTTGAAAATGACTGTTGCTTTTTGTGCATTAACTTAGGAAAAAATTAGACACCAATAAGTTTTTGACCTCTCTTCAAAGTCACCAAGTTCATGACTTTTCAGTGGGGGTATGGATATTCAGAAAATACCGTATGCTCTCTATGAAGAAATCTGAATTTTTATATTTTTAATTTTTCAAATACTATATCACATTTTAGTGTAACCTAATACTGGTGCAGATCTGAATCATTTCATACTGAACTAAATGGAGATAAAATGGAGATTATTTGTATTTATTATAAAATAATCGATCATTCTTTTCTGAAAAGCTTTTTTTATTACTTATTTGTAATTTATATCACACAGCATATCTCATTTATATCAAAATGAAACTTCAATGAAATAGACTTATGAAAAAAAAAAAAAAAAGATACCAACTTTAAATACACTCTTTTGCAAAAAAATTGAAGTACCATGAAGGAAGTGGTTGTTTTTTATGAAATTGAATATGTGTATAGCTCATACACAGATAATAAAATGATTAAAAAAATCAAGGTCATAGTACCTGTTTACGACTCACAATCACCCATTGAGTGTTCAAATTAGTAGTTGGTCGAATCGCCCCTGGCGGTAATGCATGCTTGAATTCATCGAGGTAAGGAGTGCTGCTAGAGGTTCCTGATGTCATCCTGCGACACATTCTGCCAGGCATTCATCAGTTGTCGCTCCAGATCTGCGATATTTTGAGGTGCACGAATCTGGCAGCCTACCATGTCCCAGACATGTTCGATTGGCGAAAGGTTCTGGTAACCTTGCTGGCCAAGGAAGAATATCAATCGCATGGAGACAGTCCAGAGATATGCGAGCGGTATGTGACCTGGCATTATCTTGTTGGAAAATGGCTCCAGGATGACGTGCCATGAAGGGTAGTGCAACCGGCCACAGGATGGTATCAACATATCGTTGAGCTGTTAAAGGTGTATGGAGGATGACTAAAGATGACCTGCCGTTATAAGAAACAACGCCCCACACCATCACATCAGGGATTATTGGCTGTATGCCTTTGTAAAACAAAGGCTGATTTTGACCGCTCGCCCCGTCCTTTCCAGACACGAAAACGGTGGTCATCTGCTTCAAGAGTGAAGTGGGATTCATCACTGAACACTAATGATGCCAGTCTGACGACAGCCATGGTGATCGGTTGCGACACCACTCCAGACGACTCCGCCGATGTTGTGGAGTCAAAGGCAAGCGTCTTAAAGGCATCTGTGAGCATAACCCCACCTCAGGCAAGAGACATAAGATGGTGGACAGTATCACGAGAGGTATAGACGTGGCTGTAGTGCGTTGAATAGTCGACAATGGTAACGTTGGGGCGGTTCGGGCCTGGTGAACAATCATCCTATCTTGCCTCCCATTTGTACTTCTTGGCCTTCCAGAACCTACATTTCATCGGCAAATTTCTTGTAGCAGCCATTACTGCCAACATCTTTGCACAGCAGTGTCTGTATGCTGCAAGTGGCGGCCTGTTGCTCGGTATGACCACCCAGCTTCATGCAACCCTACAATGCGACCGTGTTTGAAGTCGTTTAGTTGTCTGTAAGGTCTTCAATATCGTTGTAATGGCATCTTTAGTTGCTTCTTTACGGAATTACAATGACAGCAACAAAAAAAGATAAATTTTCCGCTTCTGTTACTGGTTTTACACTTTGCGCACTATGATCGCAAGTCTTGTTCATTTGCCTCGAAACTTTGATCAATTGCATGTTCGATCAAGATGTTTTTGCATACCAAATTTCGTTACGATCGCAAATGTCCTTCTTTGGTGCTTCGATTTTTTTGAAAAAGAGTGTATATGAGACCAATTTCATTTTTTAAATAACTAGTGTGTCATACTGCAGTAAATTAGGTTAAATTAGATTATTTGTTACTGAAGAGTACATACAGATTGCTTGCATTAAAAGGAGTTTCATGCAGTTTCATTAAAAGTTTTCATGCAGTTTCACTGTTGTGGTACTTTCTGATTATCTCTGTTCCCAAGAATAGTCACCACTAATTTATTGACAAATTTAGGACAAAAAAAAAAATTGTTTGTCTATCTTAATGACTCACAAGTACTGTTCTGTATATAAATATTAAAAGCTATATTTTATAAGAAAAATATCAGGAAAAAAATATACTTAAAGGAAACACTGATTAACGAAGCAATTGCTATTTAAATACAATTTAATATGAAGTTTGCAAATGCACAAGTACTCAAATACACACAAGTACCATTCTTGCCATATGAGAGAAAATCATTCAAACACAGCCTTTCATTTCAGTTTTGGGGAATCAAGCTATAACTAGTGTTCAATAGTTTATTCATTCAGCCACTTGTAGGCCTTGCATTAAAATAATAATAATACAGTCAAAAGTCGTTAATTCGGACACCCATAATCCGGAATGAGCTATAATCCAGACTTCAAAGCTACAAACTTTCTGCGCCGCACAGGTGTTTACGAGTGCGCGTAAGACCTTTTCGGCTACGAATATGTTTGTGCGAATGCACGTTTGATGTGTAACGGACGGTATAATGTTGCAGATTGCGTTGTTCCTTAATCTTCGAATTGGATCCGGCTTATTATTTTTTGCATACTGTTAGAGCAATTTCATAAAAGTAAGCTTGAACTTTCGATTATGTCAAATAGAATTTCCGATATATATTTACTAATATGTAATTTGTATCTACAAAGCGAAAGTATGTTTTGAAATCCGAAATCTGTTTATCAATTTCTCACTGCGGATTGGAAGTTGATCTGTCAGCACTATCCTTATCTTCAGGGCAGATGTTTTTATTTTATTTGGCTTATAATTCCTTACTAAGTGTAGTATTTCACCTCGATGTACTCCGTCTTTGATATGATTTAAATCAAGTTCCTCGTCACTATAATTCGCTTCCGATAGTGAAGAAAGTGACCCAGAGGTTACTGAAAACGAAAACATTTCGATTGACAAATTAGTCGGTATTCTCAACACAGCAATTATAGGACTTGAACAGCGGAATTTTGTAACTAAACAAGAAATTATATCTGTTTAATAGAATTAAAGAGAAAGTATTATCACATGAAATGAAGCAACTTTACATTGAAAGAAATGTTTAATAAAGTAAACAAATAAATATTAAGCTTTTTCTTTTTGTAAATTTTGATACCCTTTATATCATAACTGTTCTTTATTTCATAAATTACGGTTTCATATTTTTAATTTTGTAATTTCTGCATGCCATCTTACCAGATTTAAACTGATGATCTATAATCCAGAATAGCCAAAGTCCCGACGAGTCCGGATTAACGACTTTTGACTGTAATAACTTTCAAGCCTTCGAAATACTATACATGTATTTGTATAGCATAGAGATTATAAAAGATAAGAATCTAACCTGTTGTATTGAGGCCAGGATGAATAAATATTTAACAGTTTATCTCTTAAAAGAACAGATTTTCAACATCATTTACTGACATATAATTCTAGCCATTAAAAGTTTCCATTTAAACTTCTACTAGAATAAATTGATACTATATTTATTTCAAACAATAAACTAAACATTCTCTCGAAAAATAATTACATTTTGCTACTTCATAAAATTAAATATAAAACGATTGGGGTAGGGGAGAAATGATTAATTTATGCAACAGCATAAAGATAATTATGATAAAGATATATTCAATAAAATATGCAGAAAACATACATAAAAATCTGCATTAATATCTTACATAGAAAGATATATTTATTTCTTGGTCCTGAAGAATATGGACTATATCAATCATCTATGAAATCAATAATTCTATCTAAAAATCTGTGTAAATTAAAGATTCTTCCTATAATATATCACATATTTTGTATACTGCATGTAAATAATTAAAACTGTTTTTGTAATACAGTTTTATTATTAAAATTTTTTGTATACTTTACTCCACTGATGGAGCTAAATTTCACTAAATGCAGAATCACCATATTAAGCTCCTTATAGAACATCAGCTTAGAAAAATTAGGAAGGAATATGAAAGTTAATTTTTAATAGTGCTCTAGTGTAGAATTGGGTGCCCCTTTGATTAGCGACAAATTTTGTTCAACTTTGGTGATGAAACCCCATTTCTGGTTATCATGATAGTTTTAACTTTGTTTTAGCTTCCTAATTTTTTTAAGTGAAGTGAAGCCTCGAGGGCTATCTGCCTAAGAGGAGGGATGCCTTTGTGGAGAACTTTCTGAGGGAAACTGGCTCGTATACACGTTACACATGGGGAAAACCACGAAAACACCCATGCAGCCAGCCCATTCGCAGGATTCGAACCTCGGACCGAACTACCAGTGTTTAGTGACTTTACCGCTCGGTCGCTGGTGGGCTTTTTTAAGTGAAAATACATCAATATGTACATGGACAAAGTTAAGGCAGTGTGCAAAGCCTAGTTTGTGCAATTCTTTGATTTTTTTTTTAAGTGAAAATTGATCAATGTGTACATGGACACCGAGTTTGAGCAATTCTTTGACTTCTTATTTGGGTTTTTTGTAGCGGCCATCTTCTGATTTTGGTGTCAAAACAGAATCGCAAAAAAAAATCAAGGGGCACTCAATTGTAAATTTTAACTTTAACAGTAATCAATAAGGAAACAAAGCTCAAGTTTAATAAAAGATGTTGGTACCTTTCACTTAATGGGATGCCACTTGGTGGCAAACATTACACATTAATGTGAAACCAAAGTAGAAATGGGAATGTCAACCCTAATGATATATGCAGCTTCATGAAAAAAATATATACGTATAAATCTATTTAAAAAAACACAGACAATCAAAAATAAGAATGCGTATAGCTATCCCAGCTGCAATTATACAGTGATTCATTCATAGTTACAGGTGATAGAATTCTACAAACCTGAATTCTCAACACAAGAAATATACAGACCTAATGGCTGCCATGAAAATTATGTGTGAACCTTTGAATTTGCAACTCTGTATACTTTTCTTCTCAAGGCATAACCTTTCATTGCAACACCATTTTGGTGCTTCGGCGGTAGTAAAATATGATCTGGTTTTGAAACAGTTTTTCAGTGGGCTTTAGAAGACTTTTATCATTTGACAACTGCTAAATCACATAGTATATATTTTTTCTTTCAAAGAAAAGGAGCAAAAAAATCAGGTCTTCAACAAAAAAGCTCTTTAAGACCTCACAAGGAAAATTACTGAATTGATATTAATTTTTACTGCTTATTCACAATATGTTATTGCAGAGCTACTCACGAGATGAAATAAATAGGTTACAACATTTGGTGCAAAATTACTATTGGAATCCCATTAACAAAAAGTACCAAGATATTTACTGATGGCAAATAAATGGATTTGAATTAAAAGGTCCAATTCTACCATCTACATGACATCTTATCCAGACATAATATAAATTACTAGATGAATTCATTGAAAATCTGAAGATTTGTTTATGCATTAGAAAAGCTTGTATCTCATTACTTTCAACAGCCTGAAGCCAGATCTCATATTCAATTGAACTAAAATTCATAAACTGTAAATTCCATGGTACATCCCATGAAATATTTAATGTACTATTTTTAGAAATCGTAGTGCATGACACATTTTGAACTTCACTAGGATAAAGTTTTGTTTCAGTTACAAGTTCATCATTAGAAGAAATCTGCATTTTGAGTTCTTTTATAGCATTACTGAGAATAATGGTAAAAGAATTGATATCCACTATAGTATCCTGATATATTCGATACAACCAGACAGGATCATAACAGCATAAGAAAGGTACTACTACCGAGTTTTCAATACTAGCCTGTTCTTCTTCAGGCAAATGCTGAATTCCTCCATATTCAACAGAATATTCTGGGTGAGGAACAGAATTATTTCTTATTTTGTTTTCCCAAGACCAATATATTAATTTCAAACCAGGTATATTGGCGAAAGTTTTATACGGAGTGCTAATATCTGGGTTCACACCAAATGGGAAAAGTTCAATAATTACTGAATTTGGTTCTAAAAATAATGAAACTACTAATAACGAACCATGCATTCCCACTATAATTTTGCTTTGTAACACTATTTTGATCACTTCTAACACTGAATGGTTTTCTAGATTCATTATGCACGTTTCGAGATTTGAATACATTTGAAGAGTTTTCATTACTTCATTCTCATTAAGAATCTTTCGGTTGTGCTTTCTTGTTAAAAGAACAGCAAGCGGCTTTTCATCTTTTGGGTTTAAATTAAACTGCTCAATAAAATAATTACGAAATTCTAATATAACTGAATATATACCAGTGAAAGGTTTCTTTAAAGGACCTTGTGGTTCTTTAAATCCATAGTGATACCATACTGTAAGCTTGTTTAAACCAATATAAACATTTTGAATGCAGTGTAAATTTTTAGAAGATAAAGACTTAAGGTATAATGGTCCATTACTTAAGAATTTATTATATAAATCTGCATAAGGACCAGAAGCTCTTCCATCAGCAAATGTAAAAAATACATCTTTGCAAGACATACCAACACCAAACTGACATAATTCTTTAAGAGTTAAAAACGCAGGTAATAAGTCATCATGAAATACATGCATTAAATTTTCAGGATTAAACCTTTTGAACATCAATGAATGACCTTTTATATAGGAAATATTAAAATTCTGAGCTGCAGAAGCAGGCATATCAACATAGTTGAAATACTGTGTATTATGATCTGCTACAGATGAAAAATCAGCTAAAGCTGGATCAAATCTGTCATGTGGTACACCACTAATAATAGAATTTCTTTGGTGAAATACTAAAAATGTTTCAGATTTTGGTTCATAACATAGGTTTCGGAAATGACACAATCTGTCGGTATGATTGCTTCCGCGACAAAATACCGAAGAAGAAAAAGTGCTAATATCTACTTCATTTAAATTCTCATATTTCGGATACGAAGGGCATTCATTAGATGTTGATTTCAAGTACTCTCCATTATAAAAAATGACACAGATTATAACTAAACAAAATGGAAGCAAAAAATGCTCTATGAATTTGTTGACGATATACATCAGAAATGATCATGCACAAACATATTCCGTACACATCGCACATTTTAAAAAAGTAGCGCTGGCGCGAAAATCGTACTTCCACATAATTTGTAACGCCAAAGTAAACAAGTTACCACTTAATATATCGCAAGACGAACGGTTTGTCAACAATAATTTTGCGGTTCTTTTCTTGCTCTCTGGGCATATATTTAATCTTACATTGCCTGTTCTGATCTAATTCATCAAACGTATATTTTCTATTAAAAATAAGTATTGCCTAGTATATGCGATATTCTGGAAAGTTCAGGTATTGAATGATCATCCGCAAGTCTTTTTTGTACAAATATGAGTAATATAATGGACTTCAGTATTTTTTTACATTACATTTTGCTTTACATTCTACTTTTGCTGTAACACCCAAAACGAAAAACAGATACCGAAACCTTTATTCGGATTGTAAATGCAATGTAACCTCTATCAGGTCGGGGACAGACTTTAGGAGTGACAAAAGTTTTCAAATTTAGCGAGTTAATGGGTGGCAGATTCTAGGAATTGGGCAGAGAAAAGCCTAGCGCTCTGACACTGCCCCCATGTGCCATACTATGAACACTACGATGGCATAACATGCAAGTGTTTCATGATATGATAATTTCTACTCGAACATGTTTAAGGATAATAGTTATGATTACAATTTTAAGTATATTTATAAAAATTTAATTTCAAGTATGTCCGCACATAAGGTTTAAATTGAGTAGCTTAAACGAAGCCACTTATTTTTTAGTTTTATGGTTTACAATAGTAAAAATGGCAACGATGTATTAGTTTGGTTGTGGTTATTGGTTGGAAGAAAGAGTGAAGTAGTAGGAAAAGTATATAAATTGGAGCGAAGAAGTTTTATTATTAAAATTCAGTTATGTCTTACGCGTATCTGTTCAAGTATATAATTATTGGTGACACAGGTAAGGATTTTTTGTTTTTGTTAATACGTTTCGTAATTAAAACGGAATTCATTTCAGATCGATCTGACATATGTGTGCTGTTTATTAGATGACTAATATTCTGTGCGTAGTGCGTGTCATCCTTTTTCTTCCTCTTCCCTATTTTTCTAATCGATCGCTGTTTATCTTAGAAAATTTTTTTGAAAAGTCTTCAAGTTCTGTTTGTGAGCTGCAAGTTTCATTTTGATTAAATCTGCGTGTTCATTAATAATAGAATGATTTGTTCTCGACACACCCGTTTATTGAAACATTAATTTTTATGGAGTCAGTTTTTGAAAATAAAAGAGAAAATTGAATGAAAAATTTAAATGTATTTTTAAATTGTTTGATTTAATGGAAAATTAAGATATTTTTCGTGCATCGATCAATGTTTAATGCTTATGTGTGGTTTTTTTTAAATATTGGGTATCAGTACAATTATCTTTATTTTTACTACATTGTGAAACCTTTACTTTTTTTTTTTTTTTTAACGTTACAGTGTAGATGTTTTTCTTTAACTTATCTCATATAATAAATATTTTCATTAATCACCTTACTAAGAAAATTATTTTGGTTGCATATCATGAACACTTTCTCGTAACGAAATTCTTATGATTTATGTCTTTGTTAAATAGTATTTTATTTTTTACTCTACTTTCCATAATTTTTAATCAGAAGTTAATGTTTATCATAATTGTTTTAATTTTTTAAGTGATAAAAATGCAGGTTGAGTTCCTAGATTATAGTTATTGATTATATTATTATGTAAATTTTATATGTCTAAGTAATAATTGTAGTTGTGTCATTAAATACTAATCAATAATCAGTTACGTCTATGAAATATTTAGTAATTTTAATAAGTATTGTAAAATTTAAAATGATTTTCTCATGTAATTCAAGATGCTGCCATACTGTGGAATATTCAAAATAGAAATTTTATATAGTTGAGTGTATGTATAATATTGTGAACGCGACGCATGCGCAGAAAGTTTGTAGCTTTGAAGTCTGGATTATGGGTGTCCGAATTAACGACTTTTGACTTATATACAAAGCGAAAGTATGTTTCAATATCCATCAAAAAAAAAGTGGAATTGCTGCAAAAAATGGATAAAGGCATATCCTTTGTTTCTCTAATCATTCCAAAAACTATTTATCAATTTCACGCTGCTCTGCGGAGGGGGGGGGGACGCCGTGGCGCGCAATGAATTGGAAGTTGATCTTTCAGCACTATCCTTATCTTCAGGGCAGATGTTTTTATTTTATTTGGCGTATAATTCCTTACTAAATGTAGTATTTCATCTCAATGTACTCCGTCTTTGATATGATTTAAATCAAATTCCTCGTCATTATAATTCGCTTCCGATAGTGAAGAAAGTGACACAGAGTTTATTGAAAACGAAAAAATTTTGATTGACTACTTAGTCGGTATTCTCAACGCAGCAATTATAGGACCTTGAACAGCGGAACTTTGTAACTGAACAAGAAATTATGTCTGTTTATAGAATTAAAGAGAAAGTATTATCACATAAAATGAAGCAACTTAAACAACTTACATTAAATGTTTAATAAAGTAAACAAATAAATATTAAGCTTTTTTTTTGTAAATTTTGATACCCTTTAGATCATAATTGTTCTTTATTTCATAAATTACGGTTTCATATTTTTAATTTTATAATTTCTGCATGCCATCTTACCAGATTTAAACTGATGATCTGTAATTAATCCTGAATCGCCGAAGTCCCGATGAGTCCGGATTAAAGACTTTTGACTGTATTGAATTTCAAAAGGCAAAACTTGATCATGGAAATGTATGCATATACATACATGGATGCCCCATAAATGCATTTTCGTGGCATTACGAGTTGTTTATCACGTTCGTTCCCTAGTGATTCTTTTCAAAATTGGGTGGATAACTACAAAGTGCCTAATTCTTTTTACAAAATTCATTTACAGTTTTATGTTGCAAATAACGAACATGTGGGGCATTTTTTGTTAAATTTATAAAGTTTATGGCTTATGCTTTTGACAGTGTAGTTCAATTACTCAGTTTTGTTTTTTAGGCATGCATGCTTTTTATTATTTGTGATATAAAATTTTAGATTAATTTTGTGAAAAGAATTATTTAATCTCTTGTTCCTATTAAAATATACGATAAATTATTTTTAACCTTTTCGTTCATTACTTTTTTTAAGAATTTTAAATAAAAGCATATTTTATAAAAAGACAATAATTTATTGAATGCTTTAACTCTTATCTTTTTAGTCTTAATGACAGTCGTCAAACTATTCAATTGTTGTGTCAAATAGTTTAAAAATATGTCGATTTTGCCCCCCTCCCCACAAAAAATCAGAAATTACATTAAAATTGGTATAGTTCCATTATCGGGACCATATGAAACTACAATGAAAATATATGCACAGAAATGCCAGATCTAGTGAAAATTCCCATTTAACCTTAAATTGCACATCAATAAAGGTTTCTATAAATACACATATATTTTGATTGTGCATAAATTTAGATAGTTCCAAATTTTTTAAACTATCAATAAAATACTGGTTTAAAAAAACTTTGGTAACACCACAAATCTAACAATTTGGAATAGACCAGAGACAAAAAGACTGCAATAAAATTTTTTCAAAAGAAAGGCATCATTCATGATAGAAAACAACTACAAGATGAAATTGTGTTTTATTGATCACAGTGAAATCACACTGCACAAAAGAATCCTGTAATGGGGAGAAAGGGTTAAAAAAAACACAAAACATTGGTTCAAAGGATCGAAAATACCCTTCCTTACAGATGTAGGATGTTCAGTAGTTTGCGTGTGTGTGTGCATGTCAGGAGATGTCCTCTGTTGAATTTTATGAGCTCCAGCTGAAGATGAACCACAATATACTTGCACACTGAAACAATTTTCATGCTTAAGGTGTGTGCCATAGATTTAATTGCTTGACCTACTTTGAAAATGATGGATGCGATAAAATTACTGAAATAGACTGGAACCATTTTCACTCAAAAAACTATGTTGGACATTTCTTCCACCGCAATGAGTTTTCATAAAAAATTGTGTAGAGAATTAAACGAATATTTTTTAATAGCTGTTCCAAATCGATCAGCAAAAGCTTTACTTTTATTGAATGTAATAAATGAAAATATTGTAGAAGGAAGCATTAATTTATACTGGAGTGATTGTGGAAAAGCATATAAGCTGGTTGCATTGCGAGACGATGGCTTTGAACATTTTACTGTCAACCACAAATATAATTTCGTGGATCCTGAATGTGGTTATTATACACAAACAATACATCAGTTGTGGGAAAGTGCTAAATGACATAATAAAAACCTTCGGGGCACTACTCAATAGCACTTCAATTCATACTTACTTGTTCGAATTCATGTGGAGGCTTAAAACAAATGTAATGTAGGAAATTAACCTTTCATTAAAATAAAAATAATATTCTTAGGTAGTTATTCACTATTATTATTTAAAGTTACCGCAATGTTTTTTGGCATCATCAGCATAACAGTTTGGTTATTTTTTACATAATTATGCATTAAAAATATCAGGGACTAGTTTAAAAATACATGGTAAACTTTCAACTATAATGATGAATACCATGAGTGAGTTAAATAAAAGCTTATAAAAACAAATTTAATTTCCTAAGATAAGTCCAGGAAGTTACCTATTAAATATTTTTAAAATTATTCTTGTTTTAAAAGAAGTATTGGGTTTTTTCCTAAGCTTTAAAATTTTCAAATCTTTATAACAGATACATTTTTGAGTATTAAACATTTTAAAGTCCAATAAAAGAATATTACTATGTACCACAATAAAATCAACATTTAAAAAGAAGTGCTGAGAAAAATATATGCAGATGCTTCCCACATTATGAACAAGTTATGTTTCCAAGACCGGTCATACCATAGTTATGTTTCCAACACCGGTCATACCATAAATTTGTTCTTAAAATGTGTCTAGGTTCATTATGCATTTCTCCTAATGATGTTTCTTAGATTGACAGCTATAATTACTGTAAAATAAACAGTTAACAAGTAAACAAAATGCACATAATTTTTTAAATGCAGTTAATTATGAATAAAAAATAATAAATAAACAAAGGATTACTCTCCTGCAGTGGTTCTCAACCTTTTGACTAATGCATACCATTCTAAACAAAAATTGAAAACCTTCAGTACCACCACTACAAAGTATTACTATCAACACCACTATTAAACAAAGCTCAGATCGCATAAATTTACGTGTGTTAGGGAAAAAAACTCAATCCGGATGTTGGGGTTTTAATTTTTGAATTTAATAGTTAAAAATACTTTGCTTCGTGCCGTTATCTTCTGACGTTCGACCATATGCATTTCCTTCCTACGTACAAGCAGGACACGTAATAATGGCTACTAAGTAAACCTTCATTTACACACAAGTCAAGTAATGCTCTTTTCCCCTTTCTTTGCAAATCATACAGAAATTTCAAAGTAGTCTTACCATATTCAGCCATTTTACCATCTAAACCATAAACAAGCAATATACTTCCCAACCAACACACACCACAAGCCCTTACGAATTTACTGCAATCATGCACCCAATTACGTCATAATAGGGTTTCCATAACTTTCAACTACTCAGGCTACTATAAATGAAACAACAACTTAATGATAAATCAAACAACTTCGCGATAATACAAGGAGTACCCATCTCTCTACTCTAACCTAGATTCCTTCTTTTTCTTTCATAGAGAGCAGCCATTTCTAAGAGAACTTAAAAAAAAGCAGCTTTATTTTTTTTAGAAAGCTTGTAGGTTAACATATTAAAAAACTTACAAAACACTATAAAGAAGAAGATATTAAATTTTGGGAGGATATGAAGTGTTTCATTAACAGTAAAAATATTTTTTTATATTTGAAATTGACATGCAACTTATACCTAAAAGAAAATCAGGTAAGATATTTAAACTATTAAATGGAACGTA